GCGCGGGCGCGCACTGCCTCGGCCTCCTCCGCGCCGCTCTCCAGCGCCCGTGCCAGCACCAGGTCCCAGTGGTCCTGCGGGGCCGGCGGGGGACGGGTGGGCGCCGCAATCGGGTGCAGGGCACGGGCCCCAGAGTGACGCAGCCCCGCTGCCGCCCACCTGAACGATGCTGCCGACGTGGGACAGGGCGTCGCCGGTGCCGTTGCACGTCGGCACGCTGCCCACCGCCACCGCTCCTGGGCGCTCGCCCGCTGTCCTCGTCGCCCCCTCGGGGTGCAGTAGGTCTGCGAGGTTGGACAGGGCCCGCAGCTTCAGGGCAGCCGCCGCGTCGTCCGCCAGAGCTGCATGATGCGGAGCAGCAGTGGGGGTAGCGTGGAGCATGGCGCGGCGCTCGGTCGAACACGAACGGGAGCTGCTGGAGCTCGGGGCGGGCGTTCCAGGCTGCAAACGACGAGGGCAGGCCTTTGCAGGCCACGGATGCCGACCCCCGTGCGCCGCAAGGCCGCAGTCTGGCGCTCGGTGACCCGTGCCGAGGCCAGCCGGCTCACCCCAGCACCAGCTCGTCCGAAGCTGGCTCCGTAATCCCACACACACCGCCCCTTCCCACCCCCACATGAGCCCTCGCCTCACCCTGCTTCATGGCCACATTGGGCGGCGCCCCCGGGCCCAGCATGATGCCGGGCCGGGCGAGCACGAGGCCGCCCAGCGCCTGCAGCGCAGACTCCCGCTCCGTGGGCGTCGCCTGTGGGGTGTCCAGGCACAGTCTACTTCACGCCGTGAAGGTACCGGCCAGTGGGTCGGTGCTCACGTCAGGCCACCGCAGTTGCACCACCGCGCCATTCCCCAGCACGCCAGGGATTCTCGTCCTTTGCTTGCACTCCTCATGATCCCATCGACATCCGTTCTGTCGAGGATGTGCCCCCCGAAGTGGCGGCCCCCCCCCCCCCCCGCTCACGTCAGGCCACCGCAGTTGCACCACCGCGCCATTCCCCAGCACGCCAGGGATTCTCGTCCTTTGCTTGCACTCCTCATGATCCCATCGACATCCGTTCTGTCGAGGATGTGCCCCCC